AAAATGCAATCCGACACCTATCCAAAACTCACCCGAGCCCTCGGGGCTTCAAACCCAATATACACACAACCTCAAAACATCCTACGGACTTACTCGTGCGATCAAATCGCCAAAATAACATCAAAAACAACGGATCAAACCTCAAAACTCATGAATTCTTCCAAATTTTCATAAAACATCAATTTTCCATTTTAGGTCTGAAACACGTCAAACGACGTCCGATTTCAACCAAACTTTGCAGAAAGCGCTTAAACCATATATAAGACTTGTACCGGGCGCCGGAACTAAAATATGAGCCCGATACCACAGTCTTTTAATCAAATTTCATTTCCAATTTCCTTAGAAATTTTAGAAAAACAATTTCACAGAAAATTCATTACTCGGGCTCTAGACCTCGGAATTCGACTCCGGGCATATGCCCGAGTCCCATATTTTTGTACGGACCCTCCAGGACCGTCAAATCGCGGGTCCGGGTCCGTTTACCCAAAATAGTGACCGAAGTCAACTATATTCATATTAATATCAAAATTTAGCATTTTTCACACGGAGTTCATATTTAAGCTTTCCGGCTACGCGCCCGGACTGCGCACGCAAATCGAGGCAACCCTGAATGAGGTTTTCTAGGCTTCGGAAGCACGAAATGAGTGAGAAAACAGGTGATGACCCTTTGGGTTGTCACGATCACATCTAATGAAGTTGTACGCAAGTTAAGGCTAACCAATTAAACCCGTTGTTCAGCGGAGCATTTGATGCTATAATAAGAGCAAAACCATGGTCCAGCCGTCCAAGTGCTAGAAGAGCAATTTTTTTACTGTTGAATTCGTATTGGACCATAAACAACATTTGACAGAAATGCAATGCCCAATGATCTATTCTAGCTAATATAAATTAGACATTTAGTTTTTTCTACCACAGTAAGTGATCAAGCCAAAGGTGCAAGAGAAGGAAATTAACTAAAAGGCAAGCTTCCTCTAAACCACATAATGAAGGAAAACGAATCATCTCACATCCCATTCAATAAGAGAAAATCACGAGACTACAACAATCTTTACCTCATTAAACTATGGCAGACAAGTTTAGTGAAGTAAGAATTCCTCAATTTGGTCCGAGATTAAATTGATCCAAAACTTCGTTGTATTGAAGTGTCACTCTTAGGAAGAGAGCGGGATCGAGGTTCAAAACATAACCACCCAACAGTTTCAAGTTTCAAATTTTAAGTAAACTTCTTGTTTACTTAAACTCAGTATAATCACACAGATAGATCAGTTCATACTTCTTGTATAATTGATTTTAATTATCATAATTAGCAGTAGTTGACAAAACAATTTCTTCAGGCTAAGATTATAAACAAAATGAAATAATTCCAAATAAACTAAGAGTCTGTTTGGAAAGCCACCATATAATTGGAATTGGTGTAATTATTAGGGTAGTAATTACACAACCTAGTAATTACACAGTAGTGTAATTACGACGGCCTATTTGTTTGTTATAGCGTAATTACAGTGTGATTACAAGTTTATTGTTTGGTTGCACAAGTGTAATTTCATAGTTAGATTAAATTTTAAATTAAGTAAGTATCAAAACTTAAAAGCTAATACAATAAATATACGCCTATAAATTTTATAAGTATAAATGATATTATATTTTGTATTTAAGATGTATATTTTTCGTGAATATACATTAATTAGCAATCATATATTTATAACTAATATTGTAAAAATAATTTATATATATTTTAAATTAATAATATTTAGTATAGATACTTACAAAAATTAAAATATACGTTTTGTAAGAACATCATGGAATTCATGTTTGATAAAATAAATAAATATTTATAAATATAATATCATGACATTATTCAAATGTTTGACAAAACTAATCTATCAATTCTAACTAAAAAATGAACTGCATGCAATGTGGGCCAATACTACTAAAACAAGTAAATTGGAACCATGAATATAACACATTTTCAAAATTCCAATAAATAAAATCGTTTAACATATGTCAAATTCCAACATAATAATAGTAAGTTATATTGCAACTTAAGATTCGGAAACATGATAAGTTTATAACCACATTTAACAACGAAATTCCACTTTAATTGTATCACTCATTATATGCCAAGTTTGTTAATGACTTATTATTTCTAATATTAGGAGGTGTAGTTTATAAAAATAGAACAATAAACTAAGTAAAAAATAAAATATAAGCAATTACATAGAATCACAAGAAAGATAAACAATGTACAAAGAAAAATATATTTTAAAATTTTAAAAGAAATTAAAAAGTAAAAATAAAATTAAAAAATAACAATAATAGAAGTAAAAAGTTATAAAGAAAATGAATAAAATTAAAACAGAAAGGAAAGAAACTAAAAAGCAATCTTGTAATTACACAGTGTAATTACACCCATGAGAATCGGAGAGTGTAATTACACCCCTCCAATTACACTCAATTCCTTGCTAACCAAGTAATTACTTGGCCAAACAAACATGCCAAACTGTGTAATTACACTCAATTACACCTAAATCCATTTCCAAGGTGGCTTTCCAAACATGCTCTAAGTGTAACAAAGCAAATTGACAATGGACTTGGAAATTCATTCAGATTAATAGGTAGTGATAACTCCTTCCAAGTAGAAGCATAAAGCTACTAGTAAATTATAAAAGCTAACGTTTCTTTTCCCAACCCAACCCTAAACCTAGTCAATAAGTTTGACCCGCTGGTGTACTGCTACGACATTGCTATCTGCACCACTTTTTGGGCAAGTCAGAGGTGTCTCATACTTAATGTTTTCATCTTTAGTGCTATCTCCTAATTTCAACTCCAAATAACACCTAATGTGTATTGGATGGCTGCATAGTAACAACTCAATCACATCAAACTCATAACCATCCATTAGAAGGTTTTGACAGCAACCACCATGTGTGTCAAAGATTGACCACTCTTTGCCTTCATCTTTCCAGTCTAGAGGCACCTCCACATCAACCAGCTCTTCCGGTGGCAGTGGCTCTGGAAACAGAGAGACGAGCAAGGGGATGTGGGCGATCATGTCTATGTTACACCAACAACGTGCTCGATTTTGATTATTGATAAAGCATTCTCTGTGCACTACGTGCTTTAGGCTGCACGAATGTGAAAAAACCACAAGGTTAACATTTCTTATAGGGGACCATCGGGTAACGCAATCCTCAGCTCTTAACCAGTTGAGGAAGGACAATTTCTTTATTTTGCGACACTGGTTTTCGACTAGAGGATTCTCGGAGGAGGGACGTCGCAGTATGCTACTTATAGAACATTGGGGGTTTGTTAGCGTTTCCTTTCTACTATAGTAATTTTATTAGATTATGGTATCGACGGCTGATAGTTGCTATTGTTGTGTTTTCTGGAATTAAATGAACGATTGCGATCCGGAGTTTATTTTCGAACACAGATCCTTCAACAACACGTAATCTCTCCCTGATTGGTTTATATTATGTCTCGATGATTGAATCTAATCTCTCTTACAAACACATCCCTTTCACATATTATGTGTCGTCATTGTATTTATGTCCCATTTCACTTTTTCCGCAAATGCCTGAAAATAACACACACATGTAAATATATAAGAAGATACATGAGGAAATAAAGAAATGATCATGTACCAACATGTGCACTAAATTAACCTCAAATAAAGGAATTATAATTTACTGTTATCCATAAACATATTTTAAGTTTCAAAGATATATTAATAACATAGAGTCCGTTTCGCTTAGCTGATTTAGAGTAGCTGATAAGCATTAGGTGGTGAGAAGCACTTTTAAGTGCCGAAGCTGATTTAAAAAATAAGCAGTTACGTGTTTGGATAAAAGTGCTGAAATTAATAATATGCAGCTGAAGAACTGGATATACGAAAAGTTTTGTTTTAAAAAGAAGTATTTTAGGGATAGAATAGTAAATATTTTGGTCAAACTTAAAGTGCTTATAAGCTGAAATTTGATAAGTTGGGGGAAACCAACTTATGGCTTTTGGCTTATTTTTGGCTTATAAGCACTTAACTTATAAGCACTTTTAATTTTACCAAACGCGTAGATAAGCCAAAAAGTGCTTATAAGCCAGTTTGACCAACTTATAGGCTTAGCCAAACACCCTCATAATTCTATTTTGTGAACAACGCCCGAAGAATTTATAGCAATATTTTTCATTTTTTTTAAAGGTGCGTTCAATTTGAATACGCATCTGAATATCTGAATATACATTTTAATATTAAGACGTGTTTTAAGATTTGAATACTTAATGATTAAGATATTTGTTTATTATATTTAGATGTTTAAAAACAGACATCTTAATCATTTGGTATTCAGATCTTAAAACACATCTTAATATTCAGATGTATATTCAAATTTAAATGTCTTAATCTTAATACACATCTTGATATTTAGATTCAGACGTCTTAATCTTAAAAAACAAATGAGGCCTTAATTGGGTAGGTATATATTACTATAAATAGTTTTCAAATGGTTAAGAAAGGATAATTATTTTAAACTCAATGAGTATTTTGCATAAATTGCTCTTGATAAAAGGTAATGCCTTATGATGGTTGAGACTTGAGAGGAAGTCCTCTTGAGCTTCAGTATGCAATTAAAGTCAGCTGCTACACGCCAACGTTTACTGGAGTAGGATAGTCTCTTTATATTTTCCCAAAAAGAAGTCTCAAATCAAACTTAGTTTGGCGTAGACAGAAGAAATAGTAACCTCTTCGTTACTGTTTAATTTAATGGAACCGTAGCAAAACAATGGATAAACGAATGCTGCATTTATAGTGATTAGTTCCTCTTGAAGTCTATACAAGAATTAATCCCTCCAGGCTCCAAACCGGCCAACCGAACCGGAAACCCCAAGTAAAGATCACTTCAGATGAGACGTATGATGGCCTCCTGCTTTTTACACTTCAACTACGAGAGGAAATATGAGCTGCGTTTGTATTTATACATAACAAAGCAAAATAAACAAAAGAACCGTAAATCTGAATGAAAGATTACACAAAAATAGAGCCTGGAATTCATGAATAACATAACATGAAATATAATACAATGCAAACTACTATTGACAACAAACAGCTCCCTAACTAGAATTGATTGAAACTATGCATACACTAACTTTGCCAAAATTACCATATCTAATATTTTAACATCAAGGGTATCATCAACCTTGACAATACTGTCCGTGCTGTCAACACCAATAAAGTTTACCGGTGGAACCACGTTGTTGCCACCCATGATCTTGATTTTATCTGACTTCTTAGGTAGAACTATCTCAATTTCAGTTGGGTGTGCAATGATAGAGTCACCATTGCTGCTTGGTCCAAGAGCAACACTACAGGAACGGAGGAACCATCCTGCACCAGAAGAAAGTTGAAGATCATTTGGTTATTTTCAGAAGAAAATAGACAAATCCATCCTCTTTGAGAAGGAGGTTTTAACTACGATTCTCAGCCATATATCGAATAAGAGAACAAATCTCTGATCAAAGCAGTCACCTTCTAAGAATTATGTAAACAGATGCAAAGTATGATTTGTATGTACCACCATCATTCCTAAACCCAAAATCGAACCCGCCGTGCACATCATCATAGCCTCTAGTCGTCTCCTCAATATGGCCATTAAAATCACCTCATATGGAAAAAAATTCGGTGTGCGGGAATACCACGCACCACCTCATCTAAATCCTCCCAGAAGTGCCTCTTGACCTCCTCTCCCAAGCCCGCTTGCGGTACATATGCACTAATCACGCTTAAAGTGAGCCCACCAACCACTAGCTTAATATCCACCAATCTATGGTTCACCTTCTTAATATCTACCACCAGCTCCCCGAGATCTCTATCTACTAAGATACCTACCTCGTTCCTGCCCCTAGCACCCCCTGAGTACCATAGTTTATACCCGTTAATCTCACGTGTCCTAGTACCCACCCATCTAGTCTCGTGGACACACTCTATATTGATCTTCCTCTTCTGGACAATCTTCCCAAGTTCTATAGACTTCCCTGTCAGTGTCCTAACATGCCGCCTAGCAGAGCCCTTACCCCTTTACTACTCTTGGCCCCGGCCCCGGCCCCGGCCCCGGCCCCGCCCTACCCGAGGACATAGCCTCACTCTGCCATCACTATGCTAACGCCCCTATAACCCGCAACAAGAAATAAAGTCTACTATATAAGGCTCTAGTAAAAAAGGAAATCAAAGCAAGTCCAACTGAAAACAACACAACTAAAGAATGGCAAGTCATATTGAAAATAAAAGTCTAAGGCGAAATAACAGAATGGCAGGCAAATATTAGCCAAAAAAAAAAATGAATCACCAAAGGCAAGAATGATAGAACCTGGATTAACGCCGAGGATGCCAATAAGCTGCCGAATAGAGGTGAAGGCCTGTGGGAGGGTTGCCGATACCAATAAAGCCCGCTGGATTGGGCCTGCCGGTGCCAATAAAAACCACCGATAGTACACACCGGAGAGACTGTCGGAATGCTGCTTAACCCACGCCCGCAGAAGAGAGAAAAGAGAAAAAAAAAAAAGAAGAAAAGAGAGACGGAGAATGAAGACTTGCCGGAATCCGACCAGAAAAGCGTGAGAGAAGCAAGAGCAGAAGAAAGGAATCGAGAGGGGAGAGGGTTCATCAAGAGGAAGGAGGAGGAAGGAGCTAAATCACATCTAATGAACTTATCATTTGCATTAAAGGTCATTCCACTCAGGCTCATCTCAGCTTAAAGCTACAAGTAGTAAAGAAGCAACCGTTCGGACTTCTTTGCATTCCCCACATAGTGATTTTGATTAATTCTATAGTAATTTTGACATTAATAACCAACAAAAACCATTGAGAACGTGAAAAAACTGAACTCATAAAGCTAAAAGACAAAATTTGAATTTCAATCTATTACTGAAACACACACTATAATTACCAACAAAAATATGAAGGGAATAATTACACGCTAAAAGCCTAAAACATTTAATGAAAATGCATGAACATGAAATACAAGCCCACTAGTTCATCACTTTGCAAAGCAGAAACAAGAAATGTTTGCCTTTCGCTAGAATACAAGAGAATAGTGGTAAAATATCAAAATTCTGCAGCGATCACAAGTTCACTGGCTTAACAAAGTAAAATGTTTCTCATTTAAACTTTCAGCAACATATATTAAGAGCCCATTTGGACATAAGAATTGTTTCAACTTTTTTCGGAAATTTTTCACTTTTTTCCGAAATCCGTGTTTGGCCATAAAATTTTCAATTTTCACTTGAAGATAAATTTAGAAATTTTTCGATAATTTGAAAAACTCCAAGAGGCTGTTTTTCAAAATTTTTACTCAGATCACTCACAAAACTTCAAAAGAAATCCAAAATTATATTCATGTCCAAACAAAACTCTAATTTTCAAATACCATTTTCACTTGAAATTTTTTTTTCACTTTTTTTTTTTTGGAATTTTACAATTCTCATGTCCAAACGCCTACTAAGTTTTGTGTCACTCCAAAAGACACACAAGCTATTGTGAGGAACAGGGGACACACCTCCTAAAGGTGACATCACTTCCGGGAGTCATTGGCTGCACACCAGGAAGACCAGGTATATATGCTTAACTCGGTGTCATTGGTGGTTGGCCACCAGGAGTTGGTGGCAAATAAGGAGTTGGAGAATTAGCGCTGCATGGAATAAGGAAATGGCATTATATTCTCCATACAAAGACCCAAAACAACAATGTAACTCTCGTTTTGACTCTTGTACAGGGAAACTTTTGGTTACCACATGCGGAACCATTGTCCCTTGGGGTCCCAGCATCACTGTAATTATCGCTAGGAGTGTTAGTCCTACAGAACCAGGAACCAGCATCACTGGACTGGATGGCTGAAAAATGAAAGGAAACATCACAATCACATTGAAAGAGAACTCTCCATTTATACAGAAATCAAGAGGAAAGAGTGGAAACCTGATATTGCAGACTTTACCCCCAAGAAGCAGGGTTTCCGTCTTCCCAATTGTCCCTAGTATTTTGCCATTGCAACCAGTTAATATCAAGAAAATGGAACTCCAACTCACTAATTCTAAGACAGTAAGAGGAACAAATGGAAATCGCAAGACTGTAATCTTAAAGGAGAGCATGCCACCTAAAGTGTAATCGCGAACACAAAAGAAGACCAAAAACCTGCACTTCATTGTATAAATGCACAACGCCTTTCAAGTACAAGACCACAATTTTAATCTGATCCTTACCCATCTTATACACGAGAAAAGAACTTTCAGCTATACAAAGATGAGAATTTCACACATGAATGCATACTGACAGATCCATTTCCATGACTTAAACCATACATGAGACATGAATGTCGCGTTGTATGCGAAGACATAGCTCTTTCTCATTTCTTCAAGGATTATATCAATTAGTTTAGGTCAAATAAGAACTAGGCAGGATATATGGCCCGCACTTCTTCTATTTTCAAGAAGCTAAGCCATTTGGCTTATTTTCTCCAATGACACAACATATCCACCTCATTGGATTCCATGCTCTGTGAGCGTCCTCATGCCATCACGGATAGGTGTTGCTACAGAAGAAAATGACCAAAAAACCAAAAGTCAAACAGCTAGAAAAAATTTAATAAAAAGAGGGAAGAACAACACTGCCAGAAAGCAGCAGAAAAATGGACCTCCAGGATCTCTCACGAGTGTCATGAATGGATGAAGTGGAGTCCTCGAAGGATGTGATGGTGTTTCACTTCCCAAACCATATCCAGATGGTTCCCTAGGGACAAATAAATGATTAGACAGCGAAAACTCAATAACTCAAAGTTCGCGGCAGAAATATACTTACCGGAGTGGTGCGGACACATTAACACTATCCACAATATGATTGTGATCGACTGCAAGAAACATTGCAGTCAGCAATGATTCTTAAGCAATCAAAAGTAAGAAAACCAAAACTTCAAAAAAGGAAATTTCTGCATAATTTGGATGACAGTGTCCATAAAAGGAGATTCAACTAGCTTCCCTCCACAAAATTACAAAGAAGAGGGCCCTTTGTGTTTAACGAATCATTTTTTGTTCAACCCTCAACCCAGGGAAAAAAAACTTGCATGTAACAACTTTCATCTGGGCTTCCAGTTCAACTCGGACCGAAGTTCCTTTGATATCAACAAACGCCCCTTACAACCTTTAAAGGGCCCAAGGCGAATTTTCACATCAACTCCAACTAAAGCATCATGCCCTCTTCCACCTCTATGTCTACCTCCATCTATAGCACACCAAGCATAAAAGATAAGAGAATAATGATTCAAATGGAAGACATAAAATAAAGATCATAAATGTGACAAATAGTATGTAAAGTAAAAGCCAAATGATTAAAAAAACAAGAGCTCCATTGGTGAATAAACTAAAAAGAATAACATAGAACATCAAGATAGCACCATTATCAGAAACTTACAGCTCATAGGCAGTCCACCTCTAGACGATCTCATTGAAGATTGAGGAGTACGGGGTGGTGTTCTGAAATGCGCAAATCTTGATGAGAAGGGGTTACCCTACAGGAGTTCCATTATAATCACAGTTTTCAGACAGCAAGAGAAGGGATATGATAGAATTGCGAAAACAATAGCTCAATCTTCCAGAAGCAAGAAAATACATACATACATTTCTATCACCATTTGCTCGTGAGCCAACAATCACCACGCAAGATTGAGATTTGGCACAAATAAAACCAGCATGCTCAATGTGATGGCGATCATAAATAAAAACAAGTCCTCTGAAGATGTGTTCTACAGGACCTTGTTTTCCCTATAAGTAACAAGAATGGTTATGATGACAACATACACAACATATGAACAAGTTTCAGTAACAAGATAATCTTTTGAAAGGACAATACTCACTTTGCAAGGACCCTCGATAACTTTTACCATGTCTTTCACCGCTAATTGGTTCTTGAAGTGATCTTGGGCATTCCCTCTCTTCTCAACTTTCCCTCTGATCTCTCTAAGTCTAGCAAGTGCTACATCAGGTCTATCAGGCACACCCTTAAGGACCTATTAACGTCATTCGTATGTGAGCAACATAATTAACAGAATAATCTCAACCTCAAAACTATTAGTACTCACCTGGAAGGCTTCACTGTCTACATGTATAATCACACCAAAGCTCTTATTGCTGCACAAAATGTAATCAATTAAGAAATTTAGCTATTGGGTCGAGAAGGACTAAACTGTCTAATGCAGTCTCCTTACTCTTATAAGAAGAAAATGCTTACTCTATTATTACAAGGTCATGGAGCTCATACTTCCCGATACGAGTGAGACCAGATGTTACTAGAGAACTCTCAACAACATTATCAGCAAATACACTGAGCTGCAGATATCCAAAAATGAACGGTATGTATTACCATCATTCAGAAGGGCTTCAGATTAAAGACCTCAAATTGCCAGATATGCTCAACTACCTACAGGCTCCTTAGTTGTATCTGATACCATGTTCACCACATGCCCCTCAACAGATGTAACAATACCACTTGCGCCTTCAGATGAGCCAGAAATTACTTTGACGTGATTTACAGGCTCAAAGTGCTTGCATAGCTCTTTGTCACCAAAAGCCAGAGTTTCCTGCCAAAGTCAGGAAACATGTTAATAAGAATACAGTATTCACTTCTTATGAGACACTTGATGCATGAACAGAAAATATCTAAAGAAGGGGAAATAGCAGCACAGCAAGGCCTTCCCCATTTGGTCTGATATGAACGGTATCTTCCTCAACTTTCTCAACATGGCTTTTCATGTTCCTGAGATCCCCCTTCACCACAATAATGCGGTCACCCTTCATAAAACAACCCTTTTTCTTATTTGCTAACAAAGTGGAAAGATTAGCCATATCGCTATCCCTACCCTCACCAGGTTGGCGAAATTTCTCAACTTCGTCAAAAGTTGGATGTATGTTCTGAGTGCTGATTGATTTCACTGCCACTGTCATATACAGGAAACCATCTCTAAACGACATACTTCCAATAGTCTCAAAATAGTCACCAGTCCTCGTGCCATGCTCACGCTCCACATGTATATTCAACTCTCTGAAAAACATTAGATACATTCTTAACAATTCTATATAGACCATTGATTGTGCTCTTATTGAAATTAGAATTACCAAGGAACAGTTACCTAGCTTCATCAATATTCATTAAACGTGGCAGAGGAATTACTGCCTTCTTCTTTGTAACTTCCCTCCCTTCCTACAAAAGCAGTATCAACAAATGAAGAAGGAATGTCAATGTTTCATACAACATCAACATTTTTTTGAGAAGGGCATCAACATTTTCTTTCGAATAGGTAAGCAAAAAGATTAGTAATTGCCAAAACCAGTACTAGATAATGCCTGGGAATTTACAAAGTATAAGTCAGCAAGTTTACTAGATAAGCCAAAAAATTCTAACAATGTCAACATTTAACACTCAAGCATTTCCAAAACGCAGAACCTATCAGTCTCTCCTGCCAAATGAAGACTATACTAAGATTCGAAACACAAGAATCGATCTAGATAAACATACAGACTTGTTTGCAAGAGCCTGTAAGTCAATCCTTGGAATTAATTTTACAATGACCCCCTGGCCCATATAATCTACATGCACAACCTACAAAGCAGAAAGATTGATATTAGAAGAGAGCATCAAATAACTAACTCAATGCAACATAGAAATGCAGAATACGTGACAACCATTGCAAGGTCTCCCTTGTAAGTTCCTGTCTTCATTCTGACCCAAGTATCCCTGGCAAGATCAACTGCTTTACTTTCAACAGTGAGGACATCAGTCATCTCTTTGATGGGAACTAGCTTTATGTTAGCGGCATATATATCGCGCATACCTTTGCAAGCCTGCAGTAAATAGGCGGCGCAAAAATAATGGGGTTATTGGGTACTCAATAGGCACATTATTAAATATGCGACGTGTTAATGCTTAATGAACTAAAACAAAAAAGAAATATGACATGTATCATATACCTCCCTCACATGGGCTTCTTTGTCTGCTTCTATGTATATATAGTTCTGAAGATTATCAAGGGCCACAACTGATTGAATTTGCAATTCCGGTCCTCTATCAATTGCCTTTTGCAATACGCAAACTGCAATCTGTCACACCTCCTTTTTTACACACCTACCCAAGTATAAATGTATAAGCGAGTTTTTCCGTTTAAATTGACATTATTCGAAATGGGAGAGGCGCCACTTGGGAAAGGATTGGCTTTTGGTGTCCCAA